TCCTAAAAGGTGAAAAATCTTTAGTTGATATAACTAGATTCTGATCAATTTTCCTTGTAAAGTCCTCACCAGAGTGAAAATTAATGACTTATTTTTTGACTGATTTTGAAAGTTCATTTCAGTTTCCTTTAGATGATCTTAATTCAAAATGAAAGTTTATCAATAAAAAATATTAACCTGGAAGACATAGTCCTGAATTTGGCAACATGATTTGCTACAGCTGCAATGATTTCTCATTGCTATTTTTAAAATTTTGAAATGACCAACTTAAGTCTAGAATGGCACTTTAAAATGCTGTATATAATGAAAGTAAATTTTGTGCATCATTTCCTTATTTTTCCAGTACATATCCAATTTACACCAATCGACTCAAATCGTTTTTTAAAGATTATATATCTGAATATATAAAATATTATTTTTTTTTCCTTTTGACCTTTGTTATAAAATACACTTAATTAACTGTTTTTTAAAAAATTATTATATAAAGTATATGCACGTAATTTTTAAATTTTTTATCATAAGCTCAATAGGAAAGCTTAAGTTAATATTAACGTCATAAGTTAAAATATTTCTAACTAATCACAAAAAAAATTGTATAGAAATTTGATAATCTTTAAAAAAACAATTTGAGTCGATTGGTGTAAATTTAAGGATATGTATTGGGAAAGTAAGGGAATAATGCACAAAATTTATTTTCATTTTATACAGCATTTTATCGTTATCAATTCAATTCAAACTTTCTAGACTTAAAGTTAGGCATATCAAAATGTTAAAATAAGTTATAACAGAAATCATTCTAACCCGCAGCCATAGCATATGATGTTCCCAAATTCAGAACCATGTCTTCAAAATTAATATTTTTTATTGTTAAAATTCCATTTTGAATCAAGAACATCTAAAGGAAACTGAAATGAACTTTCATCAGTTAATAATAAATAATAAATTTTCAGCCATGGTGAGGACTTTACAAGGAAAAGTCATCTCCTTGGAGGAGGCTGAATGAAAATTTATAGGCAAACTTAAAGATCCAGTATATCATCATTCACTTTTTAAGATAAAAGATATTTCATAAGGAAAAATATAATCCCTTGAGGAACTTATGAGAGATATATTGGAAATTTATTTTGAAACATAATATTGTTAGTAATGAGAATTGAAGAACCTTATATTTAATGATAGGAAAGTTACTAAAACAAATGAGACAAATTGAATGTATTATATATTAGATTTAAAAAGAAATATATGGGATGTTTAAAAAAATGGAATCAATTCTAATTAATATAGCTTTGAAGAAAAAAAATGTAAAATTTTTAATTAATAATTATCGGTTTTGTTTTCGTAGAAAATATTAGGAATATAATAAAACTAATTATTTAATAAGAGTGAAAGTTTAAAAAAAACAGACTAACTAACTTAGAGGTTTAGTTTTGAAAAATTACAAAAAACTCTATTAGTTATACTATTTAGAGAAGATCCCTCTATAACGGGGTGGGGTGGGGAAGTGGATACGAGGCAATTTCGTCTAATCAATATATAATTATATCCCCTTACATTTTGTTTATTAACATGGTCCCATATCATTTGCTTAATGGAGGAGTGGGGGGGGGGGAGGTTATCTAGAAGACTAGCGAAATTTGATATATTCGATTATGCGCCTGTCCCATATTTAATATTTAAGGCGGGATGGTCTCAAAGTTAGTATACCGTTTTCTTACTAACTTTTCGGTAAATTTTATAAAATTTTTCAATAATTAGTTTTCATTTCAAATTCTAAGACCAAGCTGATCTTAATCTCCGAGTTTCCATTTTTTTAAAAGGATGATTTTATTTGTTTATAAATAAAAATTAATCGACGTGTTTGAATATTTTGTGAATAAAAAAAGTCAACACCCTCCTCTAAGAATTATCAAAAAAATTTTATGAATAAATGATAAAGGGGACATTTGATCTTTTAAGAAAATATTGGCTTTTTCAAAATTAAACTGGTTATTTGTTTTAAAAAATACATCGTTTATTTTCGGTCATTTCCGTCTTTTTTTTGAAAGAAAGATGACTTCTCAAAGACTCTTTGGGTGGTAAGGAAGACGCCTCAAGGATGTCATATCTTAAACGAGCGTTTCGGGCGATATGTAACCTTGGTTAATAATTCAACTAACAATGGAACTAATCTTTGCTGAAAGGCATATAGATAAAGTTGCTATTCTTCCCTCTATGTCGATTTAAAAAAAAATATATTTTATAACTTAATTTTAATTAATGATTGCCAATGTTATCATAAGTACTCTTCATTTATTACTTACAATTTTATATATTTTTCTTAGCTGAAACTTTTGTTTTAATTATTTGTATAAAAAATACAATTGCACTTGAACCTTTTTTATAAAAATAATATTGCAAAAATTTTAACTTTTTTTAAAAAATTATATTAATTTATGTATGGGGTTTCGGAATATATATATAATATCTGTATAAAAACAAAATGTATAAATTAACTTAAAATATTTTTTATTTTCAAAATAATTATAAATAAATAAAAATTTTTATTCCCCATAAATTGAGCAATTTTAATCTCATTTCTAAATTCATTATACTATAATGACCACTGTTATAAAAGGATCACAAGGAGAAAAGGGTATTTTTTGAACATTCTTTGCATTCCTAGCAACTCGAAATGTTACTGTCAAATTTCGTCGAAGACAAACCCCCCAAAATGGATAGCTCATATAAAAAATATGCTACCTGCGACCAGAATAAAAAAATACAAGTATAAAAATCATGTTCAAAATCAGTTATCATACAACTTGAGAAGCACCCCCCCCCCTTCATGGTTATTTCTTACATATAGAGATAGTATAAGTATTCTATAAAGCACATATTTTAAACTAGGTATTAAAGTTAATACTAATGTGGAAAAAGTAAAAACCTCTTTAAGTAGAAATACAAAAGGAAATATTGGGAACAAATTAACCTGATAATGATGGATGCTGTGGTGAATGAGTTTTGAGTAGAATAATAATTAATAAAAACGTTAAGGAGTGTCATAAAAGATTTTTTTATATCCTCTTATAATTTTATCACTAAATAAAGATTGTTATAGGAAATTAAATTTCGATGAAATAATGAAGAATTTTAGGAGAAAGAATAATGTTTTAACAAATCTATTTGCAAAAATTAAAGCCTTTTTTAAATTATAAAATTTATGTTAATATAGTAAAAATACAAGTTCGTTGTTTCCGTTTATTCAATTTAAAAAATTTTCATAAACATTTTAAAAAAATTTTTTTAAAATAATCTGATTTTTTAAAATTCTAAATAATCTGATTTTTTTTATTTAAAATAATCTGATTTTTTAAAATTCTAAATAATCTGATTTTTTTATTTAAAATAATCTGATTTTTTAAAATTCTAAATAATCTGATTTTTTTATTTAAAATAATCTGTTTTTTTAAAATATTTTTACTCACTTCAAATATTTTTCATTTCCTTTTTCTGACTAGGTCTATTTTTCTCTAATATGGTTTTATTTTATTATGCTTTAGTTTAAAAATTATTTTATATAAATAATATATAATATATCTGATAGTTCGGGGTCGGACTCAGGTATATATCTTTGCCATGGCCTAACTACAATAAGTATTGTTTTAATTATTTTAACCCAAATTTTGTAATAAATTATATAAAATTTGTGTAAGAAAACATGAAGTCAATAGTTATCGCATTTCCATGTTAGAAAAGTGGGGATTGAATTTGGGACGGTTGACAAAATTTTAGGAATAATAATGGTTAATGCGATTTAACGGTTCTATTTAAGTTCTGTCCTGAAAATATATGTTTAAAGGGAATTTTTTATATTTCAGGCCCACGCTTGTTATCATATCAGATTACTGTATATAAAAATACAATTTTTTTAGGGTACAAAAATGATTGCATCAAATATTAATAGAAATTTAATTTTTTAGAGCCGCGAGCCGGTCACTATATTATTGATGTTGAGGACCGATGGAGAACTCTAATATAATAAGTTTTTAAAAAATTATTTTACTTACTCATTATGAGCTTGCAATCAAACCACGATTCGCTTAATTCTTCCTCAGCCGCTGCAAGAGCGTAAAAACTATGCTCGAGCTTGGTTGGAAATCTTTTAGTATATGCCATTTTTTTAGCGGGACCCCAATATAGCGAAGGCTCGGCTGTGGAGCATCCCGTGATTTGTTATTGTTATGCTACTAGACTAGATACAATTAAGAATAGAGTAAACTTTGTAGAAATTAACGGTAAAATAAAGGTTTGGCTCTGCTATACTTTATAATAAAGAATGCATGGAAAATATTTATTACATAAACAATTGAAGAAAAAAAGTTTAATTATGAAATTAATATATTCTTAAAATATATAATCATATTACATCATATAATGTAAGTAACGTGTATTGAATATTTTTTAAAAATTTCTAATTAGTGGTTTGAATAGAGGAATATTTAATATCTTTTAAACAGCTGTTTTGATTTCCATGCTTACTCTTTTTTTTTCACATGCAAAAGACAGGCGATTGGTTAAAATAATATATTAGAATAATGAATCAATTTAATTTGATAATGCGATGGGCCCATTCCTATTGAAATATTTTCTTTATCTTCTTCTCTCTATTTGTTTCTTTTCTTTCTTTCGTGATTTAATATTATTCTCCTAAAAGTATTTTTAATTCAAGCCCATCTTCGCTTTCCGATCATTAAAATTTTAATAACATTTTGTACCTTAGGTAAATAAATATTATGGCAAAAAATTATTTATTTTAAATAATATATTTTTTTTGTATCAAATACAAATTTACTATTTCTACCTCTTCCATCCAATTATCTACTAGACATTATTATTATAACTTAAAAAAATAAATATAAGTAGAAAGAATGTGTGTTCAAGCTTAGAGCTCATATTAGACAGGCTTTTATATGTATATAAAAATAAATAAATAAAAAATATTTTAATTATATACAATTATTATTTTATTTAACTTTCATTATTTATTTATACATTATAATTATTTTATTCCTTTTCTTTATTTAAAAAATTCACGGATATTTTTAATGAATTTTTTAATTTTTAGGAAAATTCCTCTGGCAGAAAAAGGTAAAAAAATTGAATATATAATATTATAAATAATTGTGATACTGACTGATAATATACAAAAAAAAAAATCTATATAATTTATCAATTTTAAAAATAATAACTAATCATCGAGTGAAAGAAAAATTTGTTAAATGTACATTTTTCAATTAAAATCTCGGTTTTCAAGCTTAAAAATAAAATTAAAAAAAAATTGGTCTAGCTGGGACCTATAAATTTCTGCCAAGTCAGAGCCATAAAATTAAATTTGCATGGCATTAATGTGCTCCTTTTGTTGTCTACTTCGTTGCTTAACTATTTGAGATTAGATCTAGAGGACAACCGAAACATATCAATCTTAACTTCCAAGCCTGGTCACGAGAATGACTAAAAGTCGTCCCTAGTAAAAATCTCAGTTTATTTTTCAGCAAAGAAATTCAGGTGGTGACGATCCTCATTACAATTGAGAGGGGGGGGGGAGGATGTAGTTTTGATTTTAGTTCATGTTTTAATGGGGGTGGGTAGGAGAATAAATATGGGGTAATCGTAATTGATTTAGGTTATGCAAAAGTCCCTGAAAGCATATCAGTAGCTCTCCCTCTGTTGTGATGTACATATTTTTGTGTAGATCGCAGTTAATATCACCTCAAAAGCTATCATCCTTTATATTGGATTCTCCCGGGTACTTTTCCTCATAATAAGATCAACCATCATTTTAAAAAGGCCAAAATTCCTATTTTAGAACCGGCTCTTCTATGGGGGTAAATTTTTTAAAGAAAATTAAGCAAAATTTTAATTCAAATCCTTGCCTATACAGGGTGGCTTAAAACAACGTCGCGTTTTGAAATTTTTATCACTTTAAAATGCGTTACCTGTTTTTTAAATTAAATTTCAAATTTTATTAAAATCAAAGGGCGTATGGAACTTATAACCTCACTTTTTATTAAAAATCAAGGCATTTTTTAGAAAAGAGATCAAATTTTGACAAAAAATAACTCAAGATTCTCAATTTCTTTAGATTGATCCAGCATGTTACCGGACGTTCATCTTTTTCCATAAATTTTTTATCCATTTTTTTTGTACAACAGCTGGCGATCTCTTCCACTGATCAACCGCCAACATGATATTTTAATGTCGAAAGGATGGGTCACATTCCATAATTTTACTTTAAAGGCTTCCTAAATTTCATAGCCTCTTTTCATAAACTAATTCCACACATGATAATCCAGTGGATTAAGATTAGGATTGTCACGGGGTCATTGAGCTAGACAAAAATTCCCGTCTGGATAGAGCACTATGCGAGGGAGCGTAGTCTTGCACAAAGATCATATTTGATTACCCAATAAAGCTTTGGCCTAGAGTGATAAAAGTTATTTCAGATGATTTATATAAAAATCAGAATTTATTTTTATTCTTTGCTAAAAAAAATGTTATTTTATGAGTATATAGATATTCTTTTGATAATATTTTCAACTTATAAAATAATCATCCTATTTTGTTGGGCGTTAATAAAAGGCGTTTTATAATAAGATTTGTTGATAACTTAAATATTTTTTGCTATAAAAAATTTTCGACTCTGGTTATAATCCAACACAATAGAACCTCACCTAACCCGTTTTAAATTTTTTAAGGGATTTGTATTTTCAAATTTTTGCATTTTGATATCAATTTTCTGAAAAACGACTAGATCAAATTCTAAAAAAATTAAAGTGTTAAATTCCATATATTAATAAATAGCGAAATTTCATTTAAATAACGAGTAACGCGTAATAGTTTATGAAGAGACAAAACACGACGTTTTTAAGGCCACCCTAATAGTGCACACAAATTGGGTGTTTACGTTTTGCCCTAATTTTTTAATAAAAAAAACGTCCCTTGTTTTAATTGGAGGTTGCCTTTTAATATCGTCGATTCAAAATTTTAAATAAGTTCTATAAAAGGATTTGTCTTTGAAAATTATAATCGTCTGCCTTCTTATTTCTTTAATTTCTAAATATTCCTTCTTAGGATATAAGTAAGTTATATATATTACAAAGTGAAGAATAAAAAAAGTAATGAAAAAGCAAACCTATTTGCGTTTTTTAAAATGGTTGCTAACGCCAAACGGTAATTTTACCAATTTGCACGAGGTCATTTTAAATGCATTATTTGCGCTTCCAACGGAACATTTGAAACGCTTGCACACTATGAGAGAGTTATAAATATTTTTTATAGAATTCTAATCTTCTTTTACAAACTTCTCAAAGTCAAAATTATTTACAGTGCTTTTAGGATGACCAGAAATTGCCCTAGATAGAAGACTTAATCAAACATAGATACAGGCTGATCTTAGTTTAATTAAATATAACTAACTTTTTATTAAATTTTCTAAGATTTGTCGATTTATAAGGAAGGGATGTGCTTTTAAATCTATTTTTCTAAAACTTCCTAACTATTTATATTTCTTCTAAAATTAAATTAAACTTAAACAAAGAAAAACAATACATAATCCGTTCTAATTTAATTATTAAAGCGGTAATATTTTCAAAAGGAACACTCGAATATTCCAATCCAATAATGATCCTTTTTTTTAAATAAAATTTTTAATATCTACATTCCTATTTTGGGATAATTCTTTCTCTTCCTTTCTTATATTCTAGACTTTCCATATTATTTACAATGTTAAACAAACTCATTCTCTTAACAAATAATAACTTAAAAGTTAATTTCAGGAAAATATATTATGCAGACAGATCTTTAACCAAAAAACGCTAAGTTTTTTTTATGCTTTTGAAAACATTTTTTTTTACCAAATTTTATTTGCTTATAAACTTTAAGGAATATTATATAAATAAATATCAGAAACCCTGCGAAGATTTCGATTTTAGACTCAGTCCAGATTTCAAAAATTTTTTTTCAAGCCTGGCTCTGGGGATATTTCTGAAATTTTTTTGGCTGGCTTAGATTTTTATGTTTGATCATTTTTATTAAACCTGCCCGGAATTTTTAAATTTTTATTTTTAACAATTTTGGGCTGTCTTTTTTGCAAATTTTTTAAAATTGAAAATATGAGCTGTAAAGCCTTGCAATGGCAGATTTTTAACGCACAAACGTCCCTTCTATTTTTTTGAATTTTTGACCTCCTCCCCCCCACGCTTGCCATAATTTTTTAAAAATTTTTTAGACTGCCCGCCCATAATTTAAAATACTATCCCTGCTTAACTTTCACCTATATAAATAAAAATTCGACCGTTGATTTGCCCAACAATTGTTAAGTATCTTATTCAATATAATAATTTTATAATTTAGAGAAATAATTAAAAAAGGTGTATAAATTCAATATTACACAATGAAGGATATAAATAGGTGATGGATAAATTTATTTCATCAAATCAAAAATAGTATAAAATATTTATAGGGTTTTCAATTAATATATAATCATTACTTTTTAATTATATTTTAAAATAATTTATTAAAATAGATATTTTAAAAAAATCAATTAAATAAGAGAATATTCTGACGACTGATGAGAGTTTTAAAAAAGTGAATAAAAAATAAAATAAGAAATTTATGAGATATAAATTTAAAAAATGAAAGCATGCATGATAGATGAATCATTTGGAAGAAAAATAAAGGGTGCACTTATTTTTAATTAAGCATGGTGCATTGCATGCAAGGGATAAAATTATTATGCTAAACAACAATATATAAAAAATACAAACATGTAGTGTTTTGAACGCGTTCGTGAACGAAGTTCGTTTTTTTGAAAAAAATGATGAACGTTCCTTTTATTTTTGACGAACTTTGAACGTGAACGCGTTCCTTTTTTATAACGGACGCGTTCGAATTTAACGTTCGTTCAATTTTAAAAATATTTTTATTTATTTGAAAAATTTAATATTTCCGAATTTTTTTAAAAAATGTAATATTTATATTTTTTAATTGGCTGTGTATTTCCTTTTCACATTTCAATTTTTTTAACACATAGTTTATTAATTTGAATATTATTGTTTATATTTTAATTTAATAGATTTGCATAAGCATGGATAGTATTTTTTAATCCTCATCATCTGATTCTTAAAATCCAAAATCAGATGAATTATCATTACTATGGCCAAATATGATAAATGTTTTACATTAACATCCTATATTGAAGGAACTAATCCAATGCTTACCAAGTGTAAAATATGGCCAAAAAGTATTATATTGTCAAAATCTTCAGGTTCCAATTTAAAACGACATTTGATTTTAATATTAATTATTTGATTTTATATGATATTTAAATCATTAAATTTGAAGAAATAATGCATTTGGGATATTTGACCCCAACAATAACGATAGTTATTTTAAAATTAAAAAAATTAGTGGCATCAAATATGGTCAACCATTGATAGACGCCGTATTAAATGGGATTAATAAAAAGTATTAAACCTCACTCTCAATTAATTATATATTTTTATTTTTTTAAAGATTTGAACATATATATAAGGATCAATATGTTCTTTCTGCAATTATACATCCAGCATTCAAACTTCAATGGCCATGGATAAAACTTTCACAGAACGAACCTATTAAAAATAAACTTTAGCGTTATTAAAAAAAATGCTTTGAAAACCCTAGAGAACTGTTAATTTCGAGATATCTTTTTTTTGTCGAGAGTAGAGAATGGATTGGAGGAGTATAGCTTATCTCAATTTTTTGGAAATAACAAAACAATATGTTTTTAATTAATTCTCCACGTTAAAAGAGCTGTTTATTAAGTACAATACCGCAATCCCCTCATCTGCCCCTGTAGAGCGCGTTTTTAGTGTAGCTAATGCCGTATTAACTGCCAAGTGATCCTGTCTATCAGATAAATATTTAGAAAACAATTGTTATTAAAATTTAATAAGAAAAATTTTTTATAAATAAAAATATCTTTTTATTCGCCATATTATATACAATTATATTATCAAAATAAAACTATATTATTTTTTAACATGGCTAAAATATATTGTATTAAAAAATATAAGTTTATTTATATTAAATTAAATTTAAAAAAAAAA